GCCTACTTCCATGACAACACGAGTCAAGATGTTTCCCACACCCCTCACACTCACCCCCACCCTCCCACACCCTCCCACACCCCTCACACCCTCACACCCCCATCTCTCACCCCCAGGGTGTACTCTGACTACGCCTACTTCCATGACAACACGAGTCAAGCTGCCTTCCACTCCTCCACGGAGACATTCGTACAGAGATTCTGGGACTGTCGGCGTCATAGCTCGCTCAAGACCTGTGCTTTTGACATGGTCAGCTATGTAAGTGCTGGTGGTGGTGATGTGGCCATAGTGCTGCTGGTGATGGTGGTGTGGTTGTTGTTGTTTTTTCTGTTGTTGTTGTTGTTTTTGTTGTTGTTCTGGTTGAGTTGCTTTTGATGGTGGCATTGTTGTGGGCATCGCTCAGTTGGTCACTTTATAAATGCTGTTTTGAGAAAATCGAAGGCTGAGTTTTTGGATCCTTGAAATATGTCTTTAAAAGACAAGGGTTTTTTCTCTAAAACCAAACAAAGATACACAACAGTGAAACCAAACTTCTCCTATCAGTCCTATAGGTAAGGGCAATGCCCACTCATGGTGTAGGTCAAGATTCTGGAAACCCCTGAAATCTGGGTTAGCTCGCTTGTCCTTAAAAGTGACCATATTATTTGGCGCAACCTCTATTTCTGGACCCGTGCGGCCTCTTGATAACATCTCTGCCTCTCACACAGCCGTTCCCCACGGGTTTGGAGGCTCGGGGCCAGATCCCTGCGTGTGCCGGGCCCAGTCACGTGACTGACCATGTGACAACTACAGAGGCAAAAAAAAACTCATGATGTCACACATGCTGCTGCTCCTCCCAAAGACTTACAATTAAAAACCCCCCATAAAAAACAAGCCAAACAAAAAACAAAAAACAAACACAAAACAGTTGAAAGTAAATCAATGTTTTCTCTACACCCCCCTCCCATCCTTTCTATCCTCCTCATACCAACCCCCTTCCTCATTTCCCCATCTCCCCCACCCCTCCCCCATCCCTCCATCTCCCCTTCTCCCTTTCTCCGTTCCCTCCCTCTCACCAAACACTTTCCCACCCATCCCTACCCCCACCC